TATCTGAGATAACAAACCACAACAGTTTAATAGGTCAAGCAAGGTACATGAATAAATTCAGCAACAAGTAAGTCTGAATGCATCATATATAAAACAGGAACATAAAATCTTGCCTGCAAAAGCAAAATGTCCCATCAAAGAAACATTATAATCTTCCATGTTCTCAACTTAAAGTTATTATCATTTTACAAAAGACAATGCATAAAAGAGACAAGGTGTAAAAAAATTCAAGGCATAAGTAATGGAAAAACAAGAATAATTTTTAATTATGTAAATGAGTCACAACCTAGAATCCATGAAACAAAAGCAAACTTCTACCTCCTTCCAGTTATCTTGGTGGGGCCTCCAACCATGATACAGCACCTCTAAATGATATAAAGGAATTACTGTAACTCTCATCCTGTTAGAGGTCAGATGTGCTGAGTTCATGTTGAGGAATGAATTCCAAGGAACAGTGGCGGTTAAGAGTAGGAAACAGTTACTGAGGGTGAGGGGTCCAGCTGCTGAGAGACAGAAGGGGTCTGGAATGGGTTGCCTCAGACCCCACTCTGGAGGAGGTTTTACAGAGCAAAACACAAGGTGAGTACAAGGTGGGACAAAACTATGATTAACTAATAAGATTATAAGTATAACTGCTGGGGCTGGAGATTTAGCTCAGCGGCACAGCGCCTGCCTGGCAAGCACACGGTTGTGAGTTTGATTCCCGGTACTGGGAAAAAAAAATAAGTATAACTGTTTAGGAAATACTTATCAGGTGGGGAAGCAAGTCACCTAGCAAGTGTATATGGAAAGAACAAAGAACTTTTTAGGAACTGATGGGCCTAAGGGTCTTGGTCACTCACCAAGGTAACTGATGTCTAGCTAGACTTTATTGGGCCAGGTGTTAATACTTATTCCTTGGAGAGGCAGGTAGGCCTGGTCATTTGTATCTTGAAGCTTGGCCTCCAACAGATGTGCTTCTGGCCATAGTTGTGATGTGTTTTTATCTTTTGTATTGACTCTCTTGAAGTCCTAGCCCTGTCTGACTGTGTCTTAGTTACTTTTCTCTTACTGCTGGGATAAAATATCCAATACCCAAAGTTAATCACACACCCTTAATCCCAGCATCACACATTCTAGACTCAGCCACCTCTGAAAAAGCCCTGTGACTGCATGAGGCTTTGAGGGGGACATCTAGGCAAACTGTTAGAGACTGCCTGTAATATTTTTACCTAACTCAGCAGTCTGCAATACCTGTAACCTCAGGGGTGAATCTCAACAATGTAGAGTGAGGGAAGCTAGACCATGCCACACAAACCAGCCAAGGTGCATGTTGTATGGTCCCGCTTACATGAATGTGTAGGATGTGTGAGTCACAGCAGCAGTGCAGAGCCATGCTCACCTGGACAGAGGACTGCAGAGGAGCACAAGGACACCTTTGGGACGATCGATCACTGTCTCCATTGTTATGATGCTTCCACAGATGTATGCATATAGCAAAACTTAACAAGTTATAAACTTTATGTGTAGCTTATTGTATGCTTAATATAAATTATGGAACAAGAACTGGTATGTAAGCTGTAGTCATGTGAGGCTCCAACTCCGTGTCCTCCCAATCCAAAGACTTCAAAGTAAAAGCATTGCTTGAGGTAAAGGAGGTGCTGTATGTTGACATTGATTTTGCTGGCTATATCAGGAAGATAAAACAGGTTTGAATTTGTATGCACCTTAAAACATAGCTTCCGAATATATAAAATAAAACCAAGTTTGTCAGAAGTGTAAGGAGGAAGCAAATAAATACACTCTAGTAGCATCTGTCAGTTATTGATAGATCATAAGCTGATGAAAAAATAAGGATTTATAGAAGCCTTGAACAACACTGTTGGTTAACTATTTAGCAGCCATACATACAACACAGTATCCAAGAACTCCAGAATATGCCCTTTTAACACACACTCATAATATCAGGCATTTAAACACTACTCACTGTGTTCCAGATATTGCAGGTGCTGTCATTGGTTCTTTAATCTTCCTAACATTTACAAATGAGGAGTCAGGGTCACAGAGAGGCCAGGCACAATGCCACAGTCCACACTTGTATCTGAACAGACTGGCTCCTGGGTTTGCATTCTGGATCTGTAACTGTACTGCCTCAGTGGGTGTTTGTGAAAATTGATTGTGGTCTACTGCAAAAAGCAAACCTAAGCCAGTTTTAAAAATCAGCATCATGTAAATCACATTCATTTTTAACACAATTAAGCTACAAATTCATAACCAACAAGTACTAAAAAGACAACAGAAATGAACCACTTATGTTTAAGATTAAAAGCATACTGATATGTAAGCTAAGATCCAAACCCAGAAATCATAAAAGAGCCATATCCATCTCAGAAGTCAGGGACAATAAAGACTCATTACAGCGGTGGGGTGCAGCTAGCGTGTGACTGTGGAAAAAGATTGGCAGGTTTAAATGCTTGCTTATTTCAGTACTGAAGAAAGGCCGTATATTAATGAGTGAGTCGTCTGTCTTAAGTTAGAAAAATAATTAGAAAAAGCTAAGTAGTAGCTGTTGTACTTTCGTGTGTATTTGAGAATAGCCATTATGAAGAAATTAAAGGAGAAACAATGTCTGTACCAGAAAGAAGATGATAAAGACAGCAGCAGAAATGATGAGGTACCGAAACTGATGAGCAGAATCAGACGGTGCTTATTTTAAAAGACTGAGGAAATTAACAAATGTGCGGCACGATGAATAACCAAGATGAGGAAAATGCACCTAAAAGTGGCATCAAGAAATCCAGATAGGGTAGCGCAACAAGAGTAGTGGACATTTAAAGAAACACAACTATTGTGAACGAATTTGAAAACTTAGATGAAAAGTTCCTAGAAAAATAAAGTTGTCCAAAGCGCTGAGAAAGTCCAGCCCTTCCTGGACTTTCTTATCTTATAGGAGCTCTCCAGCAGCGCCCAGGGAACAGACTTCCCAGTCTTGTGCAGCCGGGGCAGAGAGGGCGGGAGGCAAAGGAACCCTGCTGCTCAGCCAGAGGGCGTGGCCGGAGGAGGAGAATGAGAGCTCACTCACCAGTGCATGGGCAAACGGGCCGTGGCCACGGTCAGGCACAGGGCGTGTTCTGACCAATCAGTGTGTTCCAGGAGTGGCACGTTACAGGAACCGTGACGCGCGCTGTGTCTACCCTATTAACCAACTGAAGGGGGACGCGGAGGTCATCTGACTCGAGTCATAGCCATCCATGCTAAGGACGCTGGTGAATTAGGCGTGGAAGGGAACCTGCTGTGGGTCATCTACGAAGGCTGGAAGCACACACCACTGTCCGTGGTGAAATGTCGAAACGGCTGACCCCTTCAAAGTCAGGAAGCGGACGGCAAGGGTGTCGTAGGCGGGATAGTGCCCGTGCCAGCCAGTGTGGTGGACCGAGATGAAGACACACTCGTGGCTCTCACTGCCCACTCCAGGCAGCCCTCCTGCCTGCCCCTGAGCTCACTGGCACTGGGTCCCTGGGTCACCTCCCAGTGCCCGTGCTGTTGGTCCCTTTGCAGCCCTGTGTTCTCTGCTGGCTGAGCCCTGCCCCCCCTGCTCTTCACCCTCACAGCGCTCAGTGTTTATTCCTGGCCCAGACCCCCGGGCCACTCTCCAGGCGCGCGTCTGAGTCCCACCGACGCCTCCACTTTGTTGTCCTGTCCTGTCTCAGTCTCGCTGTGCCCAAGCAACCAATCACCCCTCCTCCCCAAAAGGCTTCCTCCTACCAACGTCTGCAAACCCTCCCTCGTCTGAGGAATTGGAAACCTGGTCCTTCCATTTGCTGAGGTCAAAACCGTTGGCGTTGCCCTTGATTCCTCTTTCCCTCGTTCCCCAGGTCTCTCAGCCGTGTGTCTTCAAGGCTGATGCCTCTCTCCCAAGCCTCTGCCCTCGCCCAGCCCGTATCACTAACACCTCTTGGTTCAGAATGACCCTGCCCCTGGCCTATCCCTCTTCACCATCCCTGGGCCCTGCCTGTTCTCAGCAGGATCCTTCGAAGCCTGCCTCTGGCCTTGCTCAGAGCTTCGCGGGCCCCGGAGCCTGAGGGTATGTCCCTTACACAGTCACTTGCCGCAGTCTCAGTTCTGCTTTCTACTTCCTTCTGCCATGGCCCAGTGGTCTCCTAGGTGGGACATCTCACACCTCCGGGTCCTCGTGTTTTTTGAAGTGTGCACCTGGGTCACCCCCTGCCCCATGTTTGCATGACTTTCTCTCTGGGAGTCCTCATTTAAATGTGTCTGCAGGTGATGGCACCATATTGGAATTACAGTCGCCCAACATACACAAACACCCCTACTATTCCCTATCCACCTCCCTTGCCTTATTTTTCTAAAGCACGCCATCACCATATTATGCACCATAGATTTTTAGTCACGTGATAAGCCAGTAACTGTAGTCATGTAGCGTATAGACCATGAGCACATGGCTGGACTGAGAAGGTGGCACTGAGAGCTGGGGTTTGGGGGACCCCAGGCGCAGCAGGTGGCAGCGTGGACTTGAGCTAATAAGGCAATCCCAGGGACAGGGCTAGGAGATGTTCTTGAGGGGAGCTGTAGGGGCCTGAGGGGAGGCCTGGGGAGTCTCCCATGGGTGACAGTGCCCTGGGTCCCTGGGTGGATCAGGAGGGGGTAGAGGGAGGGCACAGCCAGTGACTCAAGCCACTCCGATCACAGCAACTCCCGGGTTGCAGCGAGGAAGGGATTCCACACCTGGCGCACCGGTGCTCCCTGAGGTCTCTTTTCACCCTCTGGCCGTCATCTTCACCCCGCAGGACAGCCAACAGCTGCTCCCTCATGGGCCCAGTGAGGCCTGTTTACCAGGCCTGGCTGCTGAAGGGCGAATGGCACTCATCTTAAGGGGGTGCGAACTTGGAAGTGAGGTTAAGTGAGAGTGAGCAAGTCACCCGGCTCCGGTCTCCCCAGCCCTGACTGCACGGTGCCCGCGGGGTCCACACCAACGTTTTCTCTCCTGTTTTCTCTTTCAGTCGGAACCGGAGGGCTTTTCTCATTTCCACTTGTACGTTTGTGCTGCTTTCCTCGTGAGATGGAGGAAAGAAATACTAGAAGAAAGAGATTTTCAAGTAAGTAAACGTCTTTTCAGAAGAGCCCCGGTTGATTTTCTGCTGGGAGAGGTTTATAGTGCTTCCACCTGTGGGTGGTTGGGAGGTGCTGGTTCCACTCTGCTGCCAGGCAATGCCCAGCTGAGGGCACAGGGTGGCAGTGTGACCCTGGAGGGGCAGTGTGACTCCAGCACAGAGGTCACATCATAGCATCTGACCTAGGATGTGCTGGGGGCCTTGCTGGGTGAGGGACTGCACAGCTGGGGCGCTGCATGACTTTGGCCAGGTTGCTTAACCTCTCTGAGCCAGTTTCTGTCTTGACTTGGAACACTCCATTAGAGGTGTCTGGAATGCACATCCTCCCAGCTGCCGTGCTCCACACCCCTGGCACGTCCTGAGAGCTCCTGGAGTGCCAGCCATAGACCCCTCATGAGTGACAGCCGCCACCACCTGAGGCGTGGACAGGAAGTCCTTCTGCCACTGGCTGCCCAGCAGGGTGGGGCAGGTGGGGGTCCTATAAAGGGGACGCCAGCACTGCAGGCACTGGGCTCCTCCCTGGTGAGCATGTATCACCGTCCTCCACCTTGCCCAGGGCCCAGTTCTCAGGTGAAGGTCCCCAGAGTGATGGCTGCCTGGCCCCCTTGGCCCTCAGCCCTGTGCTCCTAGCTCCAAGCACCCTGTCCTCTCAGGGCCGAGCCGGGAGCCAGGAGGTTCTCCTAGGCAGAGAGAAGAGGTCATCACTGCCCCTTGCACAGCTGCCCTGTCATCAGCAGGGGCTGGCTGTGCCCTCCAGGGGGCTTCACAGACCTGCACCCTCCTGCCTTGTTGCACGTGTGGTGGGGACACCTTGGCCAGTCTGGGACCGTAGAGGCCCTGAGGGACGCCATGACTTGCCCAGGCGCCAGCGGCTGGATGCGAGGGCTCCCTGGACCCGCTTGCTGTCTCCTGTGTGTGCTTTCTTGCCCCCAGGGGGCGCTGTGGAGCGGGACTGGCTGAGAGCCCCATGCCCTGTGACCGGTACCTGCTTATGGGAACGGCGGGCCCAGCTTCTGCGGCGCCCAGTGGCCACTCAGTGGCCTGCGTGCACTCTGCTCCCCTGCTGGCTCCGGGGAGGCTCCAGGAGCAGTTGTTGCAGAGCCTCGTTCCTGCTGGCCCCAGAGTCATTCCCTCCTGGCCTCCAGGTTCCTGCCGCCCTGAGTCCAGCCCGTCTGGGCTTGGAGATGGGCAGGCAACAGCTCTTAGTGTCTCGTGCACACCCGAGTGTGCGGGCTGCAGCTCCTTGTCACCCCGGGGGTCCCCGTAGCCCACTCCAGGCAGACCCGGGCCGCACCCCAGGGCGGCGTTCACATGCTGGGAAAGCCACGAGCGGCAGCCAAGAGGAAGCAGTGATGGCAAGGACTGCGAGGGGAGTCTTCGTCCAGGTCCGGGCCTGGCGCGATCTGTTGTCCTCTGTCTCCTTTCGTGGGAAAGGGGATGACTGTGCTGGAGAAGCGGACCCGGGGGAGCCTGAGCGAGGCTGTCCCTGCTGTCCCAGAGCTCGCGTTGTTTGCGGCACCCCAGGCATGGTGCTGAGCCATGTTGCTGTGAGAAGTGTCTTAATTGACCAGCAGTATCTCTCTGTAAATGTAGGTGTCCCGTGCTGACCGCTCCGTCAGCAAGTCCCGCGGTGCAGTTGGATGGATGTAAAAACACTCAGCGGTGCAGCACCGAGGAGAGGAGGAAGCGAGGGGCTGCGGCTCCCTCAGCCTCCACCGGTCCCCCCTCACAAGGTGGCACAGGGCACACCGGACACGCAGGACACAGCGCTCCGCAGCCTTTATTCCTGCTAGCGGAGTGTGGCAGTGGCACACTGCCCTGGGGCACAGGACAGGTGGAACAGCTATGAGCTGGGGGGCACCGATGAGCCAGCGGGGCGCTGCAGCGCAGGGTGGTCTGTGGGGCCTGCTGTGGCCCTGAGAGACGGCAGGGCCTTGCAGTGAGGTCGTCTCGCGCCGCGCAGCCTGCCGTATTTATTGCGTGCTTGTTTAAAGGCGGTTTGTTTGCTCTTTAGCTGGACGCTCTGTGGAGTTATAATGAGAAGGCACACCCCAGGAGGGTCATTAAAATGCCTTGCCAGGCCGGACATGGTGGCACACTCCTGTAAATCCAAGCACTCCATGAAGCGGAAGGATCTCAAATTCAAGTAGGCCCTGGGGTCATCCCCAGGTCTTGCCAACCCTCTCTGAGGTGCAGGGACAGCACACAGGTGCAGGGTGTGGGTGCCACCCGGGCACAGCGCCCCTGAGCCCCCAGCCCTCCCTACACATAAGCAGGGGAGCTGATTTCCCCCTCTGAGCGCAAACTAAACCACATGCGTGCTTTTCTTCTGTGTCACGGAGGCCGGATGGAGGCGATTTAAGAACCTAACTTGTTGTGGCGAATTGAACTAAATGGAAAGGAAATGGGAAGAGAAAACAAATTAAATAATGCAGCTGAGGAGTCCTGGTGAGCATGGGTAATTGCTTCGCAGTTGTGACATTTTAAAAAGACGCTTTTGTGCCCATGGCAGGAGGGCAGGATGGGCGAGCCCGCGACAGGAGTCTCAGCTGTAGGACACCGGCAGGAGTTTAAGGTCCCGCTCCGACCTCTCAGCGCTGCTGTCGGCCCCTTGGGGACGAACGGGTTGCTGCGAGCCATTTCAGCAGGTGGAGCGTGCTGGTGTTCTGCCCCGTGGCTGTGGGCCACAGCGTGGTCGTGTATGGGTTGTGTGGCTGGGCTGGGTGTGGTAGCCAGGAGTGGCACTTCCAAGGTGGGCCAGGTCAGGTGGGCGCCACGGGCAGCACAGCCCTCAGGGTCGTCTCTGGTGCTAGGCTAGGCGCCCGAGCAAGCCCGCTTTGGAAGTTGGGTTGGATGCTTTGCTGTCTCTGGAACATGAATTTTTAAACTGTGTCAACCATAGAGAAATGAAACGGAGCAGTGTAGGAGACACTGTGGCCAGCTCCGGTCCAGGTGGAGGCAGGGTCAGTGTGAGTCTGACAGGCAGGGAAGTGGCCCGAGAGTTCTGGATGGAACTTAGTTGTGGAATAGAGAATACATCGTCATAAGTGTTTATAGGACATTTGAAAAAAGTAAGCCACTAATTGAGTCCTGAGAACCTTCCAGTGTCAGAAAAGCAGTCATGGCACGGGCCACCTTCCCTGAGCAGAAGCCCGTAAAGGCAGGGAATATAGAGGACAACCGAGTGGATATTGAAGGCCCCTTCCCAGGAAAGTGGGGCGGGGGAGAGACGGCTCTGCGGTTCAGGGAGAATGCAGGAGACATGGTCAGCACTGGCCTTGGACACACACCCAAAACCAAAATGCTTTTAGTGTTTGACACATTTTTCCAAGAAACCAGCTCAGCCTTTACCTCTCAAAGTCAAAGGCGGGAAAGTGAAGCCAGCCTCTGATAAGGACAGTGAGGGGTAGTGAGTACCTGGGAAGGGCTGGACAGTGAGCTGGTGGGCGGGGCGCCCGGCGTGCCTGGTGCGGGGACAGCTGTTGACGTAGGCAGGCCTCTGCGGCAGAGCCTGAGGAGAGGCGGGCAGACAGGCCTCCTCGGTGTTCAGAGAGCGCTTATGGACTTTGAGAGGATGTGGAGTGCTCAGACTGCATGAGATAAGGCTTCTGAAAAAGCCCGGCAACCTGAGTGGACCCGGTACTTAAATACGGGATAGATTTATTGTCAAAGCCGTACTTTTGAGACCAGCAGGCATCTCTGTGGCGAGCTGTTTCATTACCCCACATGCTCTCGCTCCAGAGAGAAGCAGAGAACCTGGCATCCGTCCCATTCCGGGCTGAGGTCCTGTCGGCCTGACCCAGCCTCGGCTGCCTGTGACTTCCGTCCCTCTGTCCTGCTCGGTCCATTCCTCTGCCATTGCAAAATACCTGAGACTGAGTAATGCATAAATAATAGAAACGTGTCGCTCGTAGTTTTAGAGGCTGGAAGGGAACTGAGCTAGCAGAACTGAGTATGTAGGCCCTCACTTGTCCGAGGCTTCACCCTGAATAAAGCGGCGATGAAGGCGGCTCCCTGGGTGCCTGGCCTGGCTCACCTCCCGCCCACCTGCACAGGAATTTATGGCTGTGACTGCAGGGCCCTGTGCTAAAAGCTTCATTTCAGGTGGGCTGGAGCTCCAGCACCTGGGCAGTGACAGTGGCAGTGCACTCCCGAGTGGGAGTGTAGTGACTCAGAAGACCCTCTGTCCTTGGCAGGGTGGATCTCGGGCCCTCAGTCCTGGCAGGTCTTTGTGCTCTGTCCCATGGAGAGCCGGCCTCCTAGGGCAGAGCCGCTGCTGCCCTGATTCATGCACCGGCCCCACTCGTCCCCTCGGCGTCCTGCCTGCTGGGTCACCGAACGGGCCTCGACCCAGCGTGTCCTCCTCTGTCTCACTGGTTGTGTGGCACTGCCGAGGGGCCGCTGCGGGTTAATGGTGTTGTACAGTTTGCATTCTATCCGGTGTTCCTCTGAAGCAGCAAATGTCATGAAATGCCAAGGAAGAAATCAATCGTCTCCCACTTTACCGTTTCAAGATGTTTTAAAGACAAAATTGGGTCCGTCGAAAGCTATCTTCAGAGTGGATGTTGTGCCTTCCTGGGGTGGTTGTGTCTCAGTGTGGCTGGCCTGCCGTGCGGTGGAGCGCCGGGCTCATGTGGCTGTGCGTGTGGGGTCTGCGTGGCCCCGTGGTGCATTCGCCACTTGACTGTTCTTGAAGAGGACTCGTGGGGGCCCCGCCCCCGCCGTGTTCCGGTGACATCGTGAAGCTCCCCGGGAGGAGGAGGCTGTGCTCTGTCAGGGCACTAGCGGGTCGGGGAGGGCTGTGTGCACAGTGTGCAGGGAGCCCTGGTCTTTCACAGGCGGCAGCAAGATGACGGACAGGGTCACACGGGGCCTGTGTGGGTCGGGGCTGGTGTCAGGGCTGGGAGGAGGACTCTCCTGGGGCTGAGGGTGAGCCGGCTGCCGTGTCGGGGCACAGCGGGGTAACAGCCCTTTCCACACTCATC